CAAATATTGCTCATTTTGCTCAGAATTGCTTTGGTTATTTGAATTTTTTTTTAAAAAAATGAGTGTATGTGTGTGTGTGTGCATGCGTGCGCACATACACACATGTGAGAGAGAGAAGAGAGGGAGGGAGTGACAGGCTGGCAGAGACAGAGACATGTGGAGATCAGAGGACAGTCTGGATAGTGAGTTCTTATCTTCTGCCTTGTTGAGACAAGGTTTCTAGTTTCTGCTGCTGTTTCTTACCTACTCCAGGCTGAATCTTCCTGTTCTTGCCTCCTGTCCTTCTGGGAATTACGGATGACCTGGGCCACCACCGTTTACTCCCTAAGCCATCTCCCAGCCCAGCCCTCTTGCCTATTTTCTGTATCACTGGAATTTTGAAGGTTTTTTTTTTTTTTAAAGATTTACTTTATATACAGTGTTGTGCCTGCTTCTAATTTTTTTCTTAATTGAGCTGTACATTTTTCCCACCTCCCATTCTGCCCCCCCCCTCTTTTTCCCCTTCCTAGGTGGATCCATGTGTGTCTCTCTTAGGGTCCTCTGTGTTATCTAGGTTCTTTGGGACTGTGGCCTGTAGGCTGGTTGCCCTTTGCTTTATGTTTAATGTTCACTTATGAGTAGTATATATTATGTTTGTCTTTCTGGATCTGGGTTCCTCACACCGGATGGAGGAAGGACAGTGCAGAGGTGCTGAGATGGCTAGAGAGCAGCAGGAAGGTCAGTGCAGTGGTGACTGCTAAAGAGACCACGAGATGAGGGTGAAGACGGGGAGCTATATTACACACAGGGCTTTGCAGACTCTGCTAAGTATGTTGGTGCTTATCTTGGAAACATTGTTGAGTTATGATGAGATTCAAACAGAGAAGCGAATGCCATGCTTTTTAAGAGTATCAAAAGCTGCTGGGCTTAAGGTATAATCCAAGGAAGCAGGTTGCAGGCTAAATAGCTATATGGTCCTGCAGGAGCCTGGGCCAGAATGTGGGCAGTGGGTAGTGGACAGTGAGAAATGCAGAGGCACCGACTATGTTCTGAAGGAAAGTGCTAAGTGTGGCACTATTTCAGTTTTCAAGTTATGAGCCATTTCCTGCACCTGTTTGATTGCAAATAAGGGAAAATGCTGAATGGTAGAGAGACGAAGGAGCAAGCCATGGCCACCTTTACCTTGCTAACTCCCCAGCCGAAAAGAGTCTGAGTTCCTGTCTCGTCCCTCCTTACCAGTTCCTCTCGCTGCCCAGTCTATCACTTCCTGATTGTCTGTACAGACCTCCAGACCTCTATGGTTAACTAGTGGCTAGCTTTGCCCTCTGGTGATCTTCAGACAAGCTTTCTTGTTAAGAGTATAAACAAAATATCACTATGTTCCCCTTTTTTTGTCTAAATTAAAAAAAGGTTATAACTAATACAAGAAAAACTGAACACAATAAGTACAGTCACTATATACAATATACCCAGGCAACAACTACATCAACAATGTCTAGTCCATTAGCAATTGACAAACTCAGAAAATATTCCCTGCCCTGTCTTGGTGAGTCCAGAAAGTTGTACCTAATTTATTTTCTATTCTAACTTGCATTACCTTAACAAAACTATCTTTTTATGTCTCTTAATTTTATTTATACACTTTACATTTCTTTAATGAATTCCCTTTTTGAAGCTGGTAACAAGGAAAACTATAACTATAAACTCTCCAGCTCCATCAGAGACCTGAGAAGGAAATATATTACCTTAACAAGCAGGAAGTGCAAGCAAGCAACTCCCAAAAAATGTGAGAAGTGACAGAAACACCTGGCTAGTCACCCAAGGTTCCTTTGCAATATTGGGGCATCCTACAGGTATAACACATCTGACAGATTCTTCTATGAAGCAGGCTATTCTGAAGTGCTGACTGAAGGGCGTTTTCAGGGGGCTCAGAACTGGCCACTGGAACTCTGGCAGCTGTTAAGAGTCTGAGTGGAGCCTGGAGTCAAGAACATCTATTATTGCATGTAAAAGAAAACTGTCCTGGATATTGCTGGGTACAAACTTGTCTTGGCAAAGTTTGGCAGACCTTTCTTTTGTGTTTTGTTTGTCCAGTTTGGACAGCATACTGTCAGCAGTCAAGGCAGGACGACTTTCTTGCCCTGTGGCTTACCTTTACCACAAAGAAAGGGAAGTCCATGTGGCATTTCCCAGTGCCCAGCATCTTCTCTGAAGCAGATGGGTGATGCCAGAAGGAGATACATCTCATTGTAATAAAAAAGAATCTATGTTATTAAAACATCTTAAAAGTCATATTCTGTAGATCTCTGAAGTGTTTGAACATGACTTATCTAAAATATAACTCTCTGTTTGACCTTGAAAACATACCTGATGTGAATACAGACTAGGCTGTTCTTGAACTCACAGATCTGTCTACCTCTGGCTCCTGAGTGCTGGGATTAAAGGGAGCGTCACCACTGCCAGCATGGGTTAGCAATTTAAAAGTATAATTTGTTTTTAATATTTAATAAATACCTTACAAATAACCCCCTATGCCACCAGGCAAGCTGAATGACCCCTCTGAATCCTCAAAATGAAGAGGCAGTTAGTTATCTCTTTGGGATCATCTTGTAGACTAAGGCTATTGTTTTGATCACATCTATAGGTTTATAGATTTATTTATTTATTTATTTATTTATTTGAGACAGGATCTCCATGTAGACAGGCTAGCCTTACTCTCAGATCCTTCTCTCTCTACCTCCTAAATATTAAAGGGCTCTCTCCCTCCCTTCCTCCCTCCCTCCCTTCCTCTCTTCCTCCCTTCCTCCCTTCCTCCCTCCCTCCCTCCCTCCCATGGCTCCTCAGTGGGCCATTGATGTCTCAGGTTTCTGTAACTATTGCCTCAGTTCAGTGACTACTAGGCATACCTTTAGTCACTTGCCCTCTGCTGAAAATAGAAATTAATCATCTTTTATGTCCAACTTTTTCACCCCTTAAAAAACTTGACACATTAAGGGTGGGGATGTTTGGACAATGAACATACAAAGTTAGTGGAGGGCCCAGAGAGAATGCCATCCATGGGTCAAAACCTCCCTGCCCTCCCTATTGTCTTTTCTCAGGGTCCTACTTGTCTCCTCCTCTGTCCCCACCAGTACCTTAGCCCCAGCTCCCTCCGGCCACTCTACTCTGCACCGGGAGTCCTCAGGGAGCTATTAAGTTTGGGGAAAAATGGTTCCTGGGTTAGGTGCCTGGCTCAGAGACCCTGGGTGACAGGTGAACAAAGGGCCCTCCCTCCCAGCAGGGCCTTGCCTCTGGTGTCTGCATGGTGGAGGCTGTACAATGGCTCTGCTGTAGATGAGTAGCTGCAGGGGGGCCATGTGTAGTCTGGCAGTAGAAGTAACTTGTGCTGGTGGTAGTTTCTGAAGGTCCTGACTGCAGTATTCGCAGCCTTGGCGTGGATGCCTTGTGCAGCTTTTGATGATGACTCCTAACTCCAAGCCATGCTTATGTGGTGAGGCAGATGGTGGTATTGCTTGGTATGCTTGCTTTTTTCAGGATGGCAATAGTCCTCCATGACTGCCTCCTCTGTGGTGGTCCAGAATATCCTTTTTTGGTCTGGTGGCTCTGTTTGCTAGCTTCTATTCTTCCAGCCTGCTTGCAGTGTTCTTCTGTAGTTGTTACTTGCTAAGGTCATAGTTCATGCCTGGGAATAATGCGTTTTCAGGGGGCTCAGGACTGGCCACTGGAGCTCTGGCAGCTGTTAAGAGTCTGAGTGGAGCCTGGAGTCAAGAACATCTATTATTGCATGTAAAAGAAAACTGTCCTAGATATTGCTGGGTACAAACGAACTTACTGTTCTAAGTGTTTGCTCAGTTCCTGTTTTTAGAAGTTAATGCATCAATAGGAAAACTTTGGCCATTTACACGTAAGAATTAGGCTTAGTTTGTGGGATTGTGTGACCGAAAGCTCATCCACACACTAAGCAAGCTGGAACTATGTATGACAGGACCTGCTGCCCTGGTGCTTACATGGAATGTGTTCAGATAGCTTGGATTTTGTCATGACCTTGACTCTCTCAATCTGAATGAAAAAAGTAAGTAGTTTTGCATTAAAAAATAAATAAATAAATAAGTTGCCGATGCAAATTGTAAAAGTAGTTTCTGTCCTGCCTGAGTAGGACATAGTACTTGTCATTTGAGGTGAAAAAAAAAAAAAATCATGCTTGAAGCTAGAAAAAGAAACCTTGTACCCCTCATTATTCTTTAAGCATATTTTAAAATAAATTTGCTACCTTAAATTCTGCTTTATGTTTTCTAGATAGTCTGTGTGTATTAATAGGTGTTTTGGGAAAGTATCAACAAAGGAAAATATTTTACCTCTGAGGTATTTGGTCTAATGTGGGTTATCCCCACATTTGATTTTTACTTTGGACCTGATGTGTTTTTTTTTTCAAAATTTATTTCATAAAGTTGATTATTTTTAATCTAAGACCTAAATTTGGCTGGTAAAGTACCAAAGGCATTATTCTGAAGACAGGGATTGTTGAGGAACCATCCATGGACAGTTGATCTGGGTCAGACTGGATTTTCAGCTTACTCAGTTTTAGAGTCGACTGTCATTTTGTAAACAGAGGTCTGCCAGATGAAGTGAACAGAAGGGCGGGATTAGCATATTCATAAGGTGCTGGCTCCCGGACTTCTTTTCTCCTCCCCCCTCTCCCTTTCCCTTAATGAATCTAGAAACACAGACCCATAGGGTTGAATGACTAGCTGGTTTTCTTCTGTTCAGTGCCTTAATCTAGCGAGGACGGTCTGTGTTTCAGGTTGCTTCAGGTTGCGGAAGCAGGAGATTCAGTAACTAAGTGTTCACCGTGGAGCTGCTGGAAGTGGTCACAGAAGAAGCACCTCTCAAACCGTGCTTCAGGCTCTTAAAAGGAGCACAGGGAAGCTTAGTCTTGGTTTGGATCCAGGCAAATGCTGTTGGAGTCATGAACTGGGACTGTGTGTACGGACTGCTGGTTTGGTCTTGATAGCACTGGGTATATGTTGTTGGAGAGGGCAGGCCAAGAGGCCCTGAGACCCCCAGGTGCCATCTGAATGGAGAAAAGCGGCTGTAGTCCGTTTCCAGTGTGTTGGGCTAAAGGTATAACAACTTAAATATCTGTTCAGTGTGTGCTTATGTCAGCTCATGATTTTGTACTAAAAATGCTAGATAATAGTTCTTTCAGAACTTAGAGTTACAACTACATTTGAGGGAAAAAAAAGATGTGGTATAGGTTTACAGCTGGCACATAAAACCAGTTAGGTGACTTTGCAAGTAGAAAATGAAACTTTTGTGTGGAAATGCTCTTAAGCAATCTAAACTATTTTGTATTTTTGCTTTTTAATTTTAGTAAGGAGACTGTTGTCTATTTTGTGCCATAGAGGCTTTTAAAGAGCAAAATGATTAGTTTTGACTGTAGGACCAGAGGAGAAAAGGGTAATGTGGGCTTAGTTGTTTTAAAATGGGTTTCTTTATTGTCTGTATGCATTGTGTATTTAATTTGAAGCTCTGTTATTTTGAGATTATTAACATGGGTCAAAAATATTGTGAGTGAAAAAAATTTTCTACTTTAGTATAAGAATTTGTATTCATACAGAAGTATAAATATGAAGTAGGACATTTTCATTCCAACATTCAAGGCAGCATTTAGAAAGCATAGTTAAGGTAAAGAAGCTGTAAAATTAGTGTGTAACTGAAGACAGACAAATTCAACTAGACGTTGTTTTGCTTAACATAGTGATGAATATGTAAGCTATTAACATACTTAATGAAGGTCGATATATGAAATGTATTTAGACTATGCTAATCTACTTAGGAACCTACAATTGGACAAGAGCTGCACCTTGATGAATGAACTACAAGCTTATTTTTAGGCTAAAGATATTAGTGCCTCTAGGATAGGAGGTGCTAGCATCACACTTCCTGTTTTCAAGATTAATTTTCATTGGTTGATTTGTATTTATTATTTATTCATTCCCTTTTAGGCTTTTGCACCAAAGCTTACAATGTTTGAGTTGTGTTAGTATGATAGTATCTGAATAAAGCACCTGTCACTTTTATTACATAAAGTATTCAGAATAAAAATTTTGTTTAGTTAAATTGAAGCTCTCAAAGTTTAAAGGACATTGAATTCTTACTGTTATAGTTTGTGGCATTGTAATGCAAATGAACATAATTGAGGCAGAGTTCAGCCTTCCTGAAGCACTTGTAGGTTGTGTACAGAACGCCGCCTCCATAATATGATGGTGCTAAGCATTAGCAGTAAAAGCCCTCCAGTTACCTGACAGGTCTAGACCAATGGGGTGTTGAATAGTTAGCAACTTGGCAGAAAAGAGATGGTGTTTTGGCTCAACACAAAGAAATTGATCAAAACAACTTGTATCCAATGTTTGAAGACTATTAGAGAAAATACTAAGAGCTGATTTTTAATTAAAATGTACCTTTTGGTAGATGACAGTCTGGGTGAGAGCAGAGCTTTTAAAGCAGAGAATGGGAAATGGGACACGGCAGGTCCCATCTCTACTTGCAGAGCCCTCTCAGCTGAGCATATGCTTTTACAGTGATTGTACAGTGCAGCTGTCTTTAAAATTCCTCTCTGATTTCTTGTTTCCCTTTCTTGCATTAGGACAAAAAGGTAGGAGATCTGTTCCCATGCTTGTTAATACTGTTTAGTGATAAGAACAAAGATGCCAGTGTATAGGAATTAGCTGACTTGTTTATTTCAAGTATAACCATTATAGTATCTACATAAAGTTAAAAGCTCAAATACAAATCTTGGCCTGCAAATGGTTATTCTAAACCATGCATTTGATTCAACTAGTCACATTAACCTCAAAACAGATAGCAGTGTCCCAGTTTTAAAAAGGTGAAAGATTCTTACCAGGACAGGCTAAAAATAGTAGAGCAGACCTATATTTGTATACTTTGAGGTGGATCTTCAAGGTAGCCTTCACACTTGGGGGTCTGTTCTTTACCAGTTTAGTGTATTGCTGAATTTGGTGTGGAGATCACCCAAGAAGGTTAAGCCTAAAAATATTTAAGAAAGATATGTACCTACATTGTGATTTTCTAGACATAAGTATGAGTTAAGAATAATAAGTGTAAATGTTCTTAGAACATTAGGTTGCAAAGTGTTGGGTGGGGAAACCCTACTTGTGGGATTTTCGAATTATCAGATGTACATTGTTCATCAATTACCATAGTGACATCAGAGGTTTGATTGTTACGGAAAAGCATGTTTTCTGGTTTCTTTAATTTTCTTTTCCAGTAATAGAGATTTTATGTACTTCTGACTTCTACAGTTGAAGTCACACTTTTCATACACATTTAAATATTATCTGTTTGACCATCTGTCCATCTGTTCAATACATCTTTCCTTCTCTATAATACTAGTATGGCAATGCTTCTTGGTGTGTATTATGTATAAACTTCAGTTACCTTTCAGAGATAGGACTCCTAGCTGTCCCAAATCTTTCTAGTCTTAGTATACATTGGGCTCCCATGCACTTATTCATACTGTCGATCCTGGATGCCTCTTTGACTTTACTTTCTGTGCACAAGTTCATCATTTTATTCTATACCCCGTGTATATCTTGAGTTAATCAATTCATCTCTCTGTTATGTCTGGTCTCACTGTGTGCATACATGTTTATTATTCTTCACATACCTGTTGAGGTAGTTTTGTGAAAACAGAAATCTGATATTTTCCTGATGTTTTTTAGTGGCTTGTTAGATTTGGATAAAATCCCACATTCTTACTGTGCCACACAGACCACGCTTTATCTCGTTTCTCTCGTGTTCTTCACCTTTGAGCTGTTGTCTTGCTCATTAGCAGTGTAGTCACTTGGGTTTTGTACACTGGGAGAGGGAGCTCAGGCCTTCGGAATATGCTGATGCCCTGTTTTCATTTGCTGACTCCCCTAGTTCTATTTACAATTAGGGTATCCCTTTGAATGAGCTCTCATCCCTCAACCTGGCCAGATTCTCTCCAGGGTTCTCACCAGAGCCGCCTGCACTTCTGCTCTGGCACAGCATGTATTGGGGCATACTGTTTTACAGTTAACCTGTCTGATTTTTGTCCTCCTCACTAAATTTAATGTCCTCTGGGATAATGTCAGATTTTTTTCTGCCTGATAAATACTTGGCAAAAATGGGTGTTACTTTAATATTTGTTAATGTATTCTGTATAGAATAAATTTATTTTAAAAGCTCTTTTAGAAAAAGCATTCCTTTGCTTATGTTGTATTTGGATAAACCTAGTTTTAATAGTCACTGAATTGGCCATTCTAATTGCACTGTATTTGTTTATGATTTTCTTCTGAATAAAAGTATATATGTAGAATTTAGCTTAGCAGTTGGTAGCTGATGGATGTATGCATTTTGTGGCATGGCTTTGGTCTTCAGCTACTGTCAATTCTTTTATACTTGCTTGAATATTTCATTAAATATTTCGTATCATTCTTATCTGCTTGACCTCAGTTGGTTAGTTTTTTTGTTTTTGTTTTTCAAGACATGGTTTCTCTGTAACAAGCCAGGCTATCCTGGAACTCACTTTGTGGACCAGGGCTGGCCTCGAACCCACAGGTATCTATCTACCTGACTCTGCCTCCCAAGTGGTGGGATTAAATGCATATGCCACCATTGACTGTTTTATGTCTGTCAATGTTTTGTCTGTCTGTATGTATGTCTGCAGCACATGTGTGTCTCGTCCCCATGGAAGCCAGGATGGATGTCTTAGATCTCCTGGAACTAGTTACAGACAGCTGTGAAGGTCTGTGTGGGTACTGGGAATTGAACTGTTGACAGGAAGCTCAAGAGTAGGCAGTGCTCTTAAGCACTGAGCTATCCTTTTCTGCAGCCCAAAGGGTAGAGTTTTTGAGAGAGAGCTGTACTTGTAACAGTTAAAATTATTCCTCAGATTCTAAATGTCATGTGTGCACTGAGCTTGCACATACACACGAACATGTGTTTATGTCTCCATGAATTTCTCATAAAGGCCTCTGAGATGGGAGTTCATTAGTATCCCGGTTTTGCAGACGAGATGTTGAAGCACTGAGGCTAAAAAAACTTAGCAATGGTTGTTTAGGTCACAGAAAGCAGAGCTAGGTTCTGAACAGTGGGGATCTGACTAAATGTTTTTAATCACTGTGCTATGCATGCCTCAGTGGAAAGATGATAAGATATAACGGAACTGTTTGCCTTGTCTAATGTTTGCATGTTAAGAATCATGGTTTCTACTCTCAATTCATTAATTCATTTTACAAGTATTTAGTGATCAGTCAGCATTTGCTGAATGTACTTGTCAATACTTAGCTAATGCTAACGAGTAAAGGCACAGATTTCTACCCTTGAATTGATAGAAGGCATGAAATGTTACATCTGGGTGGGGGGGTCTGTGACAGTCTAAAGTAGCTTGTCAGGTAGGCCCACCTAAGAGGACCATTGTAGAAGGTGGAGAAACTGAGTGCAGGACAAAGAATCTTGATAGGACGGCAGTGTGCCTGGAAGAGACTCTGAGTTTTTTCCTGACTTTCTCACTTGCCTGGCGTGAGGTGAAACAATGTAAGTTGCTGATCAATTGTAATAAAATTTTCCTTACCCCTCCCCTTCTGTTGTGAGCACCGCAGTCCTCGAGCTAACACTGTAGAGGGCGTTAGCACGCCTGCATCCCATCCCTCCCCTGGCTCACTGTCAGGGTTAGTTTTCACTGTGGTCAGAGGAAGTTTCTTTGTTGTGATTTCAGCAAGAAAGTGTTCAATGTTAAATGTCTTAGCTTTAGTTTTGTTTGTATTCTAAATCATTATTATTAATTAAAAAATTTCCTTTAGTTCTTTGTTTCATAAGGCTTTTTTGTTTATAGTGAGAAAGATGTTAAATTTTCCCAAATATTTTCTGCCTCTACTGATTGCATGAATTTTTTGACTACAAGAATTTTTAAAAGAACAGTGTGATCTGTTATGGTGTTTGAATATATTTTTGGTGGTGTTGAGGATTGAACCCATGGCATGCAAGTGCTAGGCTAATGCTGAAGCAGTGAGGTATACACCCCAGTCTGATGTATGTATATGTGTATCTGTTAGTTTGGGGGTTCAGCCAACTGTGGTGGTTGAATAAACCTGCGCCAACTCCCCTCCCCCATAGGCTTATATATTTGAATGCTCAGTTCCAGGTCGGTGAACTGTTGAGAAGGGCTAGGGAATGTGGACTTGGAGTACGTGTCCCATTGTTGAAGGAGTAGGTTTTGCAGTTGCAGTAGCACGTGCCAGGCCTGTTGCCTGTGGATTAGCAATGCTCTCAGCTCCTTCTCCAGCATTATGTTCTGCCCTGCTCCCCACTATAATAACAGACTGCAGCAGGCCTCTCAGAAAGTGCTTTCTCGGTCACGGTGTCTTCTCACAGCAGTCGAACAGTGACTAAGCAGGAAGTTGGCATGGGAAGTGGGGTATTGCGGTGACAGGCCTGATCATGTTGTTGGGAGGAACATGAAAAACTTTGGACTGGAAAGAATAGACTAGAAAGGTGGTTGAACTGAGCGGTACTTAGCGGGCTGTCCTAGCAGGAACATAGAGACAGTGGTGCTGAGGGTGATGTGGCTGGCCAATAGGGGCCGAGATCAAGAGGGTTCAGAGGGGAGGACTGCTAGTAAGTGGCCAACCACAGGCCATTCTTGTAATATTTCATAAAGAATGTGACTGCTTTCTGGCCTTGTTTTTTTAAAAAATATTTGCCAGAGGCTAACTTGAAGAATTTTGGATTAATTGTATGTCAAACATAGTATATTATTCCTTTTCATGGTGTAGTGTTCAGCATATTTGTGTGTTGTTATTTACTTAGGTTGTCTGTTATGAAAGATATAAGTTCATAACTTCTTGTGGTCATTTAATCAGATTATTGTTATTGAAGTATTGATGTTTTAGAAAATAAGTAGGAAAATTTTCTCAACTACGCTTTCGTGTCACCAAAGGATTGAGTCAGTGTCCTGAGTGTCGGACCCCCAGCAGCTATCTCTCTGACTTTTCTAGTGGACTTGACTCCTTCTTAGTTATAAATATAGTTGTTTTATAGCACTCAGTAAGCTTTTGTGGTTTTCTCCCAACTAGACTGAAGACTCTTCTAGGGTGTATCTGATTTTGCTTTGTTTTTGCTTTTAATAAACTATTTGGATTAAGAGTAGACCTCTTGATATGCAAGGCTCTGGTTATATTCCATAGTACCACATGTACAAATGTTCACTTACCGTCTGTGTATGCATGTCTACAGTGTAATAATGGCTTGGTAAATATTGTTAGAATTCGTCTGTTGGAAGGACTGGCCCATTCCTTTACTCATAAGAGACGAGGTGAGTGAATCCGTGAGGTTGTCGGCCATGCCATTGTACATTGTAGCTGGGCTTTGGCTGAGGCGTAGGGAATGGTAGCCCTTGATGTGTGCTGTGATCAGCAGGCCCAGGTACCATAGGCATGGTGAGCGAAGAAAGTGTACGGCAGCCTGAGTGAAACCAACCTGTGTCCTGGGTGTCCAGGGTTAGGTCAGTCCTGATGGCTAAAAAGCATCTTGCAGGTGTTGGTGTTCTCTCAAATATCTTTCAGATGGGAAATAATAAACGCAATGAGGAAGTTGTGATGCATCGTAGCAGCATCAGAGCCAGGGTTACTGCTCACAAGCTTGAAATTTCACACAGACCACTCAGGGATCCTGTCAACTCATGTTCTGGTTTGGACCGTACTTCCAGGAAGAGGTGTTTAGGTAGGGGATGAAAACAGATTTTGGAGCAGCACTATTAGGTTTCTTAAGCTCTGTAACTTCAGAGTGCCCTGCAGTCTATACTTGCAATGATGTAGTGCTTATTTTGCAGGGCATGTTGTAGACATTAGAGTTGAACTACTAGTCCTTGCCAGGGTCTGTGGCATCAGTGATGCTGCAGTTGGGTGTCTTCATGCAGAGTGAGGTAGATGACTTCCTAAAACTATGAAGAGTGAACACTTGGCGATTTGTGTTCAGCTCTCTTGACCCGCTCTTCAGTGTTGGAGCACCATTGTGTTTTGTTTTTGAGACAGAGTTTCACTGTGGCTTTGGAGCCTGTCCTGGAACTAGTTCTTGTAGACCAGGCTGGTCTCGAACTCACAGAGATCCGCCTGCATTTGTCTCCTGAGTGCTGGGATTAAAGGCATGCGCCACCACCGCCCAGCTCACCATTGTTATTCCTAACAGAATTTTTAAAAGCAGAGTGCTATAAGTTAGTTTTAGGATACTGAAAATGTAGGATATGATCAAAGGCTCCTAAAGAAACCACTCATTATTTCCCTTATAAACCACTAGGTAAAACTAAGAAGCAAATGGATTCAAACACCTGAGTGCCTTAGGGGACTATATGGGCCATTATGGAGCCACCCTATATATATATGGTCCTGCAGGCAGGTCCTCCTTGGTTACTGGACCCTGTTCCACTTCCTCTTTGCCCTTGGTTCAGAGTCTCCACCTGCTCTAAAGCACGGGTGTGGGTTGGTTTTGCTGCCCCACGCCTCTGCTTCTGAGGCCGCAGTCACTTGTTGCCTTTGTGTGATCTGCAGGGTTTGTAAACCCTGCAGATCCATTAGATTAGAGATTTACTTATAAATACAATCAATACGGTGGGGGAAAGGAGTTCAGTGCACTAAGAGCTCTCAGGAGTTTAGGGATTTCCTCTTGCCCAGGGATCTGTGATTAGGGATATATATTTAATTCCACAGCCAATCAGGGACTAGCTGCTTCTCATCTACCATTTCTTCAAACTCATCCGCATGAAAGTTGAAGTCCCCTTCTTTGAGATGTGGATCTTCTGGCAGCCAGGAAACTTGTACTTGCCTTCACACAGCAACTCTATCACATGTTCCGTATTTTCAGCTTGGTGTGGATGGCCATGGTGACTTGGCCATTATATTCTTGGGCTTCTCCAAAACACCACACTGACCCACTGGAGTCTAGACTGGGGACAGCAGGAGGTCAGAGATGGGGATATCAATTAGAAAGTTGTGTCCACGGCCCCTTAGGAAGTCCCATACAAGCACTAGGCTGCATACACTAACTACTACGGAGGCCACTTGTTCTTGCCTTGTATACCAGGCCCTCATGAGGAAAAGAACTTGATTGCCTTAATTGGCTGCAAATACTCTTCTGTAGCATTTGTATGCAATTGTTGATCGAGTCTCCAATCCTCTTCCCATTTTGACTTAGGGCTGCATAGGCAGCAAGACACCAGTAAGACCCTGAGGTGTTTCCTGTTGATTCAAGGGAGATCCAAAGAAGACAGTCCAGTAGACATCCAGGAAGCAGTTGAATTCTTGACTAAGCCTGAACTTCAGCTTGACAGTCTAGTTGAGGATTTAGAGCCCCTGATGCCCAGCCAGCATGCTATTAAGAATGGCCTACAGACTAGTGTTGGCACTGGAACTGTGCCCAAGCCAAACTGCGTAAGGCCAGTGACTTTCTGTAAGCATTTGAAAACCTTACAGCCATTTTCTGTTTCTTAACTCTAATGATAGAAACCTAATTCTCAGTGTTGATATTTTTCTTTTTAAGTTCTTTTTTTTTTTCCCCCTAGAAACTATTCTTTACTGTATTTTATAAAATCATTGTTCTGGAGCAGAGAGTAGAGTGCTTGCATACCATACTAGCCAGTGTGAGGCCAGGCCATAAGTTCAGCTCTCAGCACCACTACCACCACCACAGCAAAAACAAAAACATTGGTTTGTGACAGGTTGAAAATTAAAACAGTGTGATCTTTTACCACAGATAGTTTGAGAGTAGTGGTATAAACCTAATTTCAATTTCAAGTCTTTGATTTCTTCTTTGAGAAATTAAATTCATTTAATTTATGGGATGAGTGTTTTGCCTCCATGTATGTCTGTTGTACCAGCAGAGGTCAAAGAGGGTGTTGGACTCCCTGGAAGTGGAGTTATAGATGGTTGTGATCCACCATGTGGATGCTGGGAACCTGGGTCCTCTTTCTCATTGATTGATTGATTAGTTTTTTCAAGACAGGGCTTCTCTGTGGCTTTGGAAGCTGTCCTGGAACTTGTTCTTGTAGACCAGAGATCCTCCTGCCTCTGCCTCCTGAGTGCTGGGATTAAAGGTGTGCGCCACAATACCCGGCACCTGAGCCCTCTTTTCTCCTAACTGCTGAGTCAAGACTCTACCCATGGAGAAAGCTTTTTGAAGAAGAAATTTTTGCAGTGTTTAAAGTAATTGATTTCTGTAGCTGGTTGATAAGCAGAAGTGCTTAAAGGGGAGACTTGCCAGCATATTCAGGATGGTGGTAGGACACAGATCTGTGAAAGACCATAGTTCTGTGAAGGAGGAAGTGGAGGTCTTTTTCATGAGAGATATTCAGAGAGTTAGTATTTCTGCTTTAGTTTTTGTGGAGGGCCAGAAACAAAGGCAGAACCACACAAATAAGGCAGAGGAGTCTGTCTGTTGGTAAATACGGATAATGTAGCCGAATGCCCCTTGGGACTCCTGTAACTGGGATCTCCCCTGGAGCTATCCACAGAAGTGTCCAAGAGGTTAGGATCTGAGGAGCCTGTATGCTAACAGAAAGACAAATTATAGATGTAGGTATGCCACCAAGAGGCTTCCTGGAAGGACTGATGGTAGACGCCTCTTGGGCAGCATATAGCACAAATACAATTTTGTCAAGTGTTACCTAAGGCAGCCACGTTGTATCATGGAAAATGGCTTTCCCTGTTCATGCTGGAATAGAGCTATCTTCTTACTTTGAAAACGTCTGCCCTTTTTAAGTCAGTGTTGGGCGTGGCCATGGGTTTGGAATACAGAGGTATATGTTTGGAACGCCATCCTTTTGGCCTTGCTTTTCTTTGGCTTGTGTGATATTTCCCATGGTACCTTTCCATTGCTAATGGTTTCTCTCAACCCATTTTATTTTCTCAAAAATGGTCTCTGCTGTATTATTCTGTCTGAACTTAAACTCCTGGGTCCAAATGATTCATTCCCTTTTGGGTCTATATATGTGCACCACTACCACCTTTTGGCTTCTTTAACCACTTTGGGATACAATTACTTTTCTGCTGTTGAGAAATAAGTGATACTAAGTCTTACTTAGAAATCCTTAGTGTTCTAATGTAGGGAGGAAAGAGAAAGCTGGAATGATCAGAAATGTGCTTAGGAATACAGAAGCCTTACTAAACTCATTTATCAATTCTAGCAACTTTGAGTTTCCCTGTGTGTGAAGGTCATAGGTCAATGTCTGTTTTCTTCAGACTTTTTCAGGCCAGGCCCCATAGTGTAAAAAGAACATTATCTGTTGGATAAGGAAGAACTGACAAAGTGAAAGTAAGAAGCCAAGCAGTTTCTTTTTGAAAAAGGGGTGTGATGTGACTCAAGCAAGGCCAGCAAGTACACAGCAGAGCGGGAAGTTCACTTAGTTTTTATTTTACTGTATCATACCATATTGCTGGGAGTCTGACCTCCTAATTTGATGCTATTGGATAGCTCATAATCAGTGCAAAGGGGAAAGGTGTGGTAGAGAGTCAAGTTTTAGGAATTCCAGGGTTTGAGCTAATAGACATGTATACTAGAGTTTCACAAGGTGAAGGGTAGATTTACAGGATATTGACCTTTGGTGGGCTAGCTCCCTTTAATAGCAAAGAACTGTGTCTCACATCATTGAACCTGGAGCTCAAAATATTTGGTGCTTCCTTTCGACAAGTGAGTTCTTTGAGATACATTGCTTGATATTCAAGCATTGCAAGACTAATTTCCATTTTAATAGTTGTCTAGCTCTATGCTAAACACAGGCCATGCTCCAAGTAGTCCTTGGTTATTTGTTGACTCTTGCCAACTTTGCTGTTGTCCATGCTACTTGCGATGACTATGCCTAGTATGTGTAGAAGTGCCACCCTTGCCTTGTGTCCGTTCCTCACTGTTCCTTCTTGGCGCTGTCTGCTCCATGTGTCCAGTCTCACAAGTCTCCAGTTTCAGCTTGTGATGTTTTTCTTGCTTTTGCATGTCTGAGCAAATGATTTGATGCTTCCTTTTTCTTTTATACAGGGAGTATTCCCCAGCCATCATTTATATTTTGATTTTGAACTTAACAGTATGTCCTGGAAGTTATCAGTACAGGGACTGTGGTGGTTTGAATGGTAATGGCCCCCAGGCTCATATGTTTGAATGCCTGGTTACCTGGGAGTGGTACTGCTTGAGAAGGGTTAGAAGGCGTGGCCTTGTTGGAGTAGGCGTGGCCTTGTTGAAGGAAATGTGTCTCTGGGGGAGAGTTTTGAGGTTTGGATCACTTCAACTCTGTGGCTGTTCTGGACAGTGGTGTTTCAAACATTCATGGCCAAGTATTTTCTTTGGATGTATGTTTTCAGTTTCTTGGAAGTACACTAGTGGTAGAATTTGGTTCTGTTTATCCATCTGAGGACCTGCTAAACTTAATTGAGTCCTTTTTACACTCCTGCTACCTGCAGTGTACACGGGTTCCTGTTTTCTATATTCTTGCTAACACAAGTAGCATCTTTCCTAAAAAAGTGAATTTCTTATAATATTAAGGGTGTTGGCTCTACTTCCTATGATGTATATGGCATATATACTTTTCTGTTTGTGTTGTCTACGTTTTAAATTAAAATTATCACTTTTCTCCTTTCCTGTCCTAACCCTTGCCATACTCCTATTCTCTCAGATTGATGGCCTCTTTTTTTAATATTACACACACACGTGCATGAGTATATAAATACAGTTTGCTGAGTTTGTTCAGTGTGACCTGTATATGTTTGATTTGGGGGCTGACTGTTTTATATTAGATAACCAGTTAGGGACCTCAGCTCTGGAAGACGCTAATTTCCCTTGCTCAGCAGTCATTAATTGCCTGTAGTTCTTTGTTTATGGGTGGGACCCCCAAGATACATCCACAACACAGCTTCTATGCCTAAGGCCTGGGAACATGTGAAGAGGGGAGGAAAGATAGATTTAAGAACCAGAGGAACAGGAAGTCCATTTTCGGTTAGGAGTGATACAGAATCTACACCATATCTGAACGGGATGCCTGCACTTGTTTGTACACGTGGGAATGCAGAGGCCAGAGCAGGGTATCAGGTGTCTTTGTCTATTGTTTTACACCTTATTGTCTTGAGAAAGGTTATCTTATTGAGTCAGAAGCTGACCCTTTGGCCAGCCAGTGAGCACCGGGATCTGCACGTGTTTGCTTTCCAATCCTAGGGTTACAGACATGTGTAGCTGTGCCCAGCTTGTTACTTGAGTGCTGGGGATTTGAACTTAGGTACTAATGACTTCAGAGCAGTTGCTCTTACCTACTGAGCCATCTCATTAGCACTACATTTTTTCATTGTTTTTAGTTGCCCATATTTAGTGTGTATAAAGTCTAGAGTTTTATTTGAAGAAAAGAAAGAACTTTGAAGTAAGGTCCCGACAAGTAGGCAGCAAACTGATAAGTTTGCCTTTGCAGTGATGTATTCCTACAAAGGAAGAGTAGGTTTAACCAAAAAGGAAGGGGTGTTAACATAACATTATTTTTGAGTAAGTCAATGAAGTTTTGACATTGTTAGTAGGAATCCTGGTCCTGTAACAGATATTTTTTTTTCTTTTAAGCAGGCATGTAAGGTGCTCTTCTATCAGGCCCTGGGTGTAAACAACACAGTGATATGTGGGATGCTAAGTTCCTATTCTTGCATACTCTGTGCATGGGATGCAGAATGGAGACTGGAAGAAAATGTTCATAACATGATTGTCAGATTGTAATTGCTACTCATTGTACACTGAAAAACCTGTTTTTCATTTTTTCCCCTTCAACAGAATATGACAGATACCTAGCATCTAGCAAAAGAATGGCAGCTGCTTATCTTGACCCAAACTTGAATCATACACCAAGTTCAAGTGCTAAGACTCACCTGGGTACTGGCATGGAACGGTCCCCTGGTACAATGGAGCGAGTATTAAAGGTCTTTCATTATTTTGAAAGCAGTAGTGAGCCAACCACCTGGGCCAGTATTATCAGGCATGGAGATGCTACTGATGTCAGGGTAAGTATGTCTTTTTCATGACATCTTTAAATAGTTACGGCTTAATGGCATATAACCCTCTTCCCTGCAGAAAAAAAAGAGATGAGATAGTTTTAGTTAACATCTTAGTACTTCCATGTTGCAGAGACATTAACCTTTTCTGTCTATATAGCCAAAGGGCTAGGGATAGAGGTAGTCAGTCTAGAGCATTTGCCTAATAGCATAGTCCTTGGGTTTGTTTCCCTAGCACTTGGCAGGTAGGATATTGCTAATATGTGACTATTATTTTCTTAGGAAAATAGTAACTAAGTCACATTGTAATTATGTAGTGCAATTTATTTTTCTGCCTTATTATTTTAACCCTTACAAAGGTAGAGAGAACCAATGTGATTTAAATAACTTCTTATCTAGTAAAATAAAATGATTTAATAAAACTATTAAATATATGATTTTTTAAACACTGTTATGTTGTAGGAATGTAAAAGGTCTATATTAGTCAGCTTTCTATCACTGTAATGAAATTTCTGAATCAGTTGATTTTGGCTCCTAGTTTTGAGATTCTAATAATGAAAGTGATCCTTTGCTTGGAGCCTTCTGGCAAGGCCACATAACATAGAGCAGACCATTCCATCTCTGAGCAGAGAAAGAGAAGAGACTGCTGGGATCATTTGGCATGCGTTCCCCCCCCCCCCGGCCCCTCCAGCTACCTATAGATCTCCCATTAGCCCTACTTCCTAGAAGTATCCTCAACTATACAAAAAGGCACTAACCATAGCAAGGCCCCTTTAGAAGCTTTTGCTTTTACAGCATAGATTCTGTAAGGGCAGAGATGTGGCATCGTATAGGATACTCCTCTGCAGGCTGACTGGGTGCTGGGGAAGCTTAAAGATAGGCCCAGCACCTAAGTGGGAGAGTTAGCACTGCAAAGGTTCTTGGGTTTGTAAGGGGAACTCGTGATAGAGACTCAAGGAGGAGATAGGCAAGGCAAATGGGTGTTTCTGAAAGCTAGGGTAGCATAAGGACTTCAGAAAATGCAGTCAGCGTGGATTTCCAAGAGACATTTGCTGTGGGGAGGAGTTAAAGATTCATTAGTCTTCCCAACTCTCCTTTAGTCTATGTCAGTCTTAGAAGAGAACAGACGTTTCTACCGACAAAGGTTAGCTTAGTCTCTTTCTCCTTTCTTCTTCTAACCATATTTAATAGTTAATTTTGGTCCCTTTACTATTTTATTCACGTAGATCAATAGGTTTGATATAAAGCTAGATTGATTCTTCTGTGAGTTACACGTTTCTGTTACTTCTGTACAATCACTCCATTGGTGGACTATGTAGATGGATTTATTATTAAAGGGAACATGATGTGGGATGGGAGGAACTCATTTCAGGGGTATGGAAATGGTGGGGCAGTCTTCCCTGTCTTGAAGATTATCTCCAGCTTTATATGTAGCACCTTAGTATGAGAAAGCCTCTTATTGTGGCTGGAGAGATGGCTCAGAGGTTAAGAGCACTGGCTGCTCTTCCAGAGGTCCTGAATTCAATTCCCAGCAACCACATGGTGGCTCACAGCCACCTATAATGAGATCTGGTGCTCTCTCCTGGTGTGCAGTGCAGGCATACATGTAAATAGAACACCCTATACACAGTACACGATAAATATTTAAATTAACTAAGAGAGAGAGAAAGTTTCTTGCCTCCTGGTAGTATGATCTGTGAGATGGGCACAGGGCATTTGCTGTATGTGTGAGTACATATGCTAACCAAGGTTAGGTGCAAGCTATGTTCCAACCATGATTATTATATAGTTCTGACTCTCTGTTTTGTTCATCATTAAACAATCCAGGAGCCCTTTTGGCAGATAGCGTATACTTTGTTCAGAACTTCAGGCAGATATTGGTATATTATCTATAGATAGATGTTGGTCAGTTCAGAGCAGTAAACAGTAACCAAAGCTGTGCAGTATTAGAATTGGTAACCCAGGAGCATTGTAGTGACTTTAGAATAGTGACAAAGAAAACTTCAAGTCCTCCAAACCCAAAAAGAACTCCTATCTAGAAGGAATGACACCATTTACCCAGTTTTCCTGTGTAACACCAGATGGAGAAGACTGCCACAGAGCATCTTTAGCAGCTTAAGGAAGTCCTTCATCTCTTAGAAACGGATACCAGATGAACTATCCAGTCAGGATTCTGACACACAAGTGCCTACGGTGGAACAGTGATGTGAAAAGTTAGCAGAGTAGGCTTTCTTGGAAGAACTTTTATGTGGTATAATGAGCATGAACAAAGTGAGCCCAGAAAATACCGTGGCAGAGCCTTGTTACTCCATGACAAGTGCAGTCTCTTTTGTATCTGTCTTAAGTCTTCACAGTCTTTTAATTGTATTCTATGTGCATTGGTGTTTTGCCTGTGTTCATGTCTATGTAGGGTGTCAGATCCCTAGGAACTGTAGTTTACAGACAGTTGTGAACCGCCATGTGAGTGCTGGGAATTGAACCTGGGTCCTTTGGAAGGGCAGCTAGTGTTCTGAACTGCTGAGCCACTTCTCTGGCCCCAAGTCTTTACATTCTCTTGCTCTATTCTCTACCTACTCTGTCCTGTATTGAGCTCTTAGTGTAAACTTCCATCCATAGTCATGCTGACGGGGCTTTGATTTATTGTGCTTTCCATGTAGTCATGCTGTCCACAAACAAACAAACAAGCCACAACGCAGATAATAAGGCTCGTGTCAGCCCTGGATGTAAGATTTGTTGGAGCTGTTTTCCCTGTAGCTAGTGTGCTGCTCATCATTTTTTTTGTGTGTGTGTGTGTGTCACATTTCAGTAATTCTCACAACATTTCAGACTTTTTCCCCCCTATTTTATATGTTGGGATGAATTCTGTTGATTTGTGATGTGTAGCAAAAAGCCCCATGGAGACTTTGCATCTGGCTTGAATTCTAGAGTGTTATAACTAGGCTTTGAACTACTTTTGTGATCCTTACCTTTTTGTTGAAGTGTTTAATTCTTTTCAGGGTCCTTCCAGAAGGACCCTAATCCTTAAACAATTCAAATAACTTGGTTATGGGAGAACCTGGAAAACTAGCAGGTCTCGTGGCTGGGAATTGCTTAGGCAAATGGTTCCTTCAAACAACTCAAGAGAAGAGGTTTTGATATGTGGAAATTGCTTGCTAAAGGTGTAAATTGGTAATAGTAAAAAGGCTTTTTGTAAAGCCACGGTCAGTCAGTTCACCAGAGGCTGGATTTCCCTGCTATTTTGCTAAACAAATTCATCCCAAAGTGCCTCTTTTTCTTTCACAAAGCAGATGACAGTTGGCACCCTTGGTGGGAGAATTAGGGTCACTCTAGGATGAATTTTAGGTTTTTGCAAAGCAAAGGACAGTTAGCTCACCAGAAGTTGATTCACTCTGTGCTTTAGCTAAAGCCTGAAATTCTTCCTTAGACGCTCACAAAACAACACCGACAGATGTTTGTTTTAGTTGTTTTGAGGATCCATGAACTACACCTGTATAAGAAATCAAACATAACAGACGAGATATGTGTATGTGCTGAGCCCTTCACCTCCGTCACATGCTGCCACTCTTCTGGCCTCCCTGTCCCCTGAGATGTAATATTATTGACAGTATGCTAGTTAGTCATCTGTCAGTGGTCTCCAGGGATACAAATAAAATGAAGACTTGGATTTCTCATTTATAATACAAAGCTAGACATAAACTTCTTGAGGAAGGTACATGGAAAGTCAAGACAATACAAAAGCTAAACCTCTTGATCAGACAGTGCTATGTTGTAAATACAAAGGAAAATTCCAGGAGACATCCCCCCTCCCACAGTTAATACAAGAGTGATCAGACTTTATTGCTAATAAGGAGAAAATAATAGTGCCCTGGATAGAAGCTCAAACCAACCATAATATTCTCTCAAGATAAAGCCTGATCCAGAGTCTTTGAGGGTTGAGAGAGGAGAAGAGGTCACCTTAGCACGTTTTTGCAGAGACTTGTTCCTGAAATTTAAGGAAAGCAGAGTCTGTTAGTGTGAAGTTTGTGAAGCTGACCTAGAAGCTGTAGTACAGTAAGTATCCAGAACACCTGGCTAGGCTGCTAGGCGAAAGAAGACTTTTTAATATAAACGAAACAGCTTTCCCGTAGCTGATGCCATCTAGGTCTTTCATAGGTAGGGAGGAAGAGCCAGTATCTTGCTTCAGAATTCAAATAGAACTAAAGAGATGTTTCACTATAAAGAGGGAGCTGTTCTTCAGAAGAATCCAGTGTCTGAGATTCCAGTGCCCTCTTCTGGCCTCCATGGGCAACTGCACATACCGCATTACAAACCCACAAACTCACACAATATACATAAACATAAACTCAGAGAACATAGGGCTGAACAGATGGCCTATAGGTTAAGAGTGTACAGCTCTGGCAGAAGACCAGTGGTTCACCACCACATATTTCTAGCTACTGGATCCAACTCCCTCTCCTGACGTTCTGCTCCTGAACGTCAAGGCCAAGGAAGCATCACTTTTGTCTTGCTCAACAAAAAGGAGCTTCTTTTCTATGTGCTCAAGATGACATTGGCCAGTTTTTGTCTCTGCAGAGCTGAGCCTCTCTGACAGAGGCTCAGCCTCTTTCCCTTCTAGCTTATGTTTGAAAAGAAAATTAGTAGTTATATTGACCTACAAACCTCCTCCTATAGCCTCCTGCTGTTGTGGATGGGTGGAGTTGAGGTATACCACATCTTTGCCTTGTTTTGATTCCAAAGTGCAGCCTGATGAGAAGACACCATTTAGCCATTGAGTATTACTCCTGCCAAATTCAAAGCACATTAAACTTTTAAGTGGTGCATGCAGCTTTTGTAAATCCTTAGATCATATTTGGGATTTAGCATGCTTCACGAGCCACTTGGGAATGGCTGGTATTTTTTGAACCTGTCATTATAAATAAATTTGTATAGTTTGCCAAATGGTGTTTGTAGTTAGATGACCACTAATTAATTTAATATTGTCCATTTCTTGGTGGAAAGATCATAGCATTTGGTGACTGCTTTAAAATTAGCATTCCCGATTTATGTGGGAAACTCTCCAGTGACGTACGTGTGTGTGTGTCTGTGTGTGTGTGTGTGTGTGTGTGTGTGTAGGTGTGGAGAGTTCTATGAGCAGAGTTGTGCTGTGTAAAAAATGATGGAACCAAAGGGAAAGGTTCCTTGGATCAGGTTCTCTGATTCTCTGAGTTTCACCACAGGCCTGGAAGGTCTTGGGTGAGCAGTTGAAGGTTTGTAATATTTGCTTGGTGTCTCTCCTTCACCAGTCATCGCTCCATAATTTCTCTCTGATAGAAGAACAGGTGGGGGTGTGTTTAAGGTATTTTTTTTTTTTTTAAATGTGGGCTACTGTGAGTCCAACTTGAAGGAGAAGCACATTGGGACGAGATCACTGCGTGTCCTAGGAGTGGAGTGGGGTGAGTCAGGTGAGCAGTAGTAACAGGGGCTTTTGGTACGTCCTCTGTAACCAGAGTAAGCGTGAGGAGATAGGGAGGCCTTTTCACACAACAGTCGGTGCTTATTTGCATGTGTTCTTACGCCCTTCTCTTGCCAAACTCAGACCTTTTGTGGGTAAGGATCTTACCTTACTGCTAACCATGTTTCTGCTGTGGATCTTCAGTGAGCTAATATCTAGAAAAGAGTGACTATGCAGGAAGGGATGCTATCACTTAGTTCTAACAGTCTTACACTCAAAAGATTGATGAGCACACCAGACCAAGCAAGGTCATACAGACAAAAAAGGAGAGCCTTGCACTGATGTATGGTCAGGGAGATGACAGTCAACAGTGTGCACATGGCAGTTTTTATTGTTGGCTTTGTTCATCAACTGACCATCTTCTTAAGGTTGGTTTTGTGTGTTGCCAAGGTGGCTTGGAGGATAGTCTCTAACATCCTGTGTAAAATGGTTGGTTTGTTTGCTGGTGTACAGTTTGTTGTACCTAGCAAGGTGTTTGGTTTCAATGGCCACTTTTGTCCTGTGCTGGTGGTAGGTACATCATGAGTGACAGCAGCTAGAAAGGTGTCCCATTTCTACCTTCTGTTCCCACCTGCAACAGTCCATAGTGGTGCAGGACTGTATGCACTCAGTGCTGTGTTGTTGTAAAAGTATGATGCAATCAGTTCCATATTTTCAACTTTAAATATTCTTTCTTTGGGGGGGAGGGGTTGAGACAGGGTTTCACTAAGTACCTTTGTAGACTAAGCTGGCCTCGAACTCACAGATATCTGCCTGCCTCTGCCTCCTGAGTGCTAAGATTAAAGGTGTTCACCACCACTGCCCAGCTTTATTTATTCTTTTATTAAGATACCTATTAGTATTTAACTAAAAAATTCGTATTTTTGAATCCTGGCATAAATAGAGATTTCTGAGTAGCTAAGTATGGTTTTATTTGATAGGACTAGATGGTTAAAGGCATGTAAAGCTAGGATGAGAAGTTAAAGTTGACTTCTCTAACACGAATAAATAAAAGACCCAGAGACTGATATTGAGGTTCAAACTTTAAGCTGAATGTCAGAGAAGCAAAGCCTCTGGCCACTAATTCTTACCTCTACTTAAGGCTGAAAAGGCTGATCCACCCACGAGCTCTTCACCAAGCCTCAAACTGCTGCCTCTCCTCAGTGTGGCTGGAGAATGAATGCCTCCTACTGACTACTGAAGACCCTGCTTCTCTCTTTTATACCCTTCTATTGAATGTGATCTGTTACTCTTTCAGACTGACCCAATCTCATGTATCCCTGGGTGGCCTTGAACTCAGATGTGTCTACCTTTTAATCTTGAGTCCTAGGATTAAAGTTGTGTATTATCACCACCTCCTGACCTCTGGTTGCTGGGATTAAAAAAGGCGTGTGCCTGGCTTCTATGGCTTGTGGTTGACTTTGCCTTCTCAATCCTCAGGCAAGCTTCAATAAATCACAAATAATATATCACCACAGACCAGTCAATTTCAGTGGTATATCCATAAAACCACTTTTCATGATTCCTGGGTCTGTGTGTCTGTGTGTGTTGTGTGGTGATGGGAGCATTGCAAAGCAACAGTACAGTGTCTTTGAGAACACATTCCTTGTCAAGCAGTTTGTGAACAGTACTTGAGTTCTCCAAAACAAAGTTCTTTTTACGCATTGGGTTACTGAGTATGCACGTTCAGCAATGCAGATAGGAACTTGTGACTTGGGCATTCACAGTGTCTGTCACTGCCCAGAGAAATTGGTAGCATGAGGAAAATGATGTATGTATAGAAGTGTGACATAAAGCAGAGAGGTGGGAAAAAGTGAAATTTCTGTATGCCTTCTGCTTTTGACTGATTTCTGGAGAGTGAAATTGGAACAATGATTCATCCAGGCGCTGTAGTGTGGGACACTCTGTTACTGTAACACAGGCTGTGGTCATTTTGGGTTTCTTCAGAAGGCATGAGCAAATGTGAGCAGTCTTTTCTGCCCCATAAAACACCATGATTAGAAGCCTGCGCTCTCCCAGTGCTCCCTGCAGACCTGGACTAAGTTCTTCACTAAGGTCCGCTGTGCTACAAGTGGGCTCCTGAAAGGCGCCCATCAGCTACAAGGATATGAAGGACCTTTTAACAAGGTCATTGGAATGGGATTCCCCATAGCATGTGAATGGTGACAAATATCAGTGTAAGAAATAATTTGTGCTTTGCAGAGCCTTATATCTGGCAGATGTGGTAAGGAAGGACGGACTAGTTGAACATAAAAAAAGGGTAATTAGTGCTGGGTTGGCACATGGTGTGTATGTGGCTTAAACAAGAGAGGGCATGCTTATGTTATTGACCTGCAGAGTTGATAATGTGACACCTGTGACATACGGGTGACTAGTGTTAGTGTATACTGGTATAGATCAGCAGAGTTGGGACAGGGAGATGGGAGCCCCTTTGCGAATTTTGGAGCAGGAGCACCTTGTAGTGAGGGACTTAAGTTGGTAACGAGAATTTACACAAGTGGCTTTTGATTTGTGAGCATCACTAGAGTCCCACCGAGATCTGCAGACTGAAGACATTCTTCTGTCTTGATGAGAACCCTTCTTCCTTATGAGTCTGACTTAGACTCTTGCAGCTTGTTGCTTTGGTGTTTTCCTCCGACACCATGTCTGACTCCTCTTGTTTGCTCCATGCATTTTCATTCCCTGTGTTGGAGGTCTGAAAGGGAGCTAGCTGGCCCATCCGCTTGAGTCTCAGAGCTTGTCATGCACAGGTACCACTGTCCCTGTTTTTATATTTCCTGTTTTTTTTTTTTCCTTTTAAATAGAGAAGGTTGAGGGTCTGGGAGTTGCTCAGTGAGTAACAGTACAAGCATGAGGAACCAGCTTAGAATCTCTACTTTCTTTTTAAGAAGCTAGGGATAGCTGATGGTATTTGTAACCCAAGTGCTAAGGGAGGAGAGAAGAGGCAGGAGAGGGGCAAATTCCAGGAGCTCTCTTGCTAGCTAACATAGCTAAAATGGTGAGAGACTTTGTCTTAAAGGAATAAGGGAGCAACAGGAAGATTCCTATGTCCTTCTGGCCTCCCTCTGTATGCACACTTGAGTGTACATGCATACAAGCATGCACACACACACACACACATCCCCAAATATAAAATAGAGGGTTGATGTGGTGGGCTGAATAAGAATGGCCCCTGTAGGTTCATTTATTTGAATGCTTAGTCACCAGGGAGAGGCACTATTTGAAAGGATTAGAAGGACTAGAAGGTGTGGCCTGTTGGAGAAAGTGTGTCTTTGGGGGTAGGCTTTGAGGTTTCAGAAGCCATTCTAAGCTGTGTCTCTGTCTCTTTGTCTCTCTCTCTGTCCATCCCTCCCTCCCCCTCTCCCCCCTCTTCTCCTTTCCTCTCCCCTCCCCTCCCATATCATGTTGTAATTCTCAGCTACTACTTTAGCTTCTGCCTTTATGCTGCAGAGATGATTATGGACTAAACCTCTGAAACTGTAAGCAAACCCCCAGCTAAACACTTTCTTTTATAAGAGTTGCCATGGTCATGGCATCTCCTCACAGCAGTAGAATGGTGGCTAAAACAGTTGAGAATAGCTTTTATTATATTACTAATAGCATTGGACCATAGTAAATGAAAATTCCTTAGTAAGTGTAAAACTTAAATTTTTGCCTTACATTATAAAGTGTCAATTAATTGCTAAATTAAAAAAAGGTTTTTAAAAAATGTGTTTTGAATATTTTATCTGTGTATATGTTAGTGTACCATGTACCTGTAGTGCCTGAGGAGGTCTGAAAAAAGCGTCAGTTTTCCTGAAACTGGAGTTTCAGACAGTTGTTTTTATTGGGAACCAAATCCAGGTTCTCTGCAAGAGCAGCAAGTGTTCTTAGTTGCTGAGCCATCTTGTTGAGTTTAAAAACTGGTATTTTCTTTTGCGCATAATTTGGTGGTTTTCTTCATCACTGGACATATAGGACAGTGGGATGTTATACATCTTATACACAAAGTGTATCATGTGACTCAGTCTCATCCCTACACAGCTTACAGTTGCCATCCTTTGGGGTATCTTTTCCCTGGGCTTTCGCATGGCGGCAGGTGCAGGGGAGAAGGCTAGGCTAGAGCTTGCCTTCAGTAGTGGGTTCGGAGGCATTTTAAATTGCCACATGCTGATATATACAAAGCACATCAAATTGATACCAATTCACCAAACATGTCATAGTTTGTTGTTGTTATTGTTTTTAAGGAAAAATTATTAATGGTATAACCTGGCGTTTCAGAAGATCTTGGTTCAGAAGGTATAGAATTGAAGTGATGTGAAGGTGGAGTTGTTGAAATATCTTATATTTATTGCCCAATAAAGAATTGGGAAGAGAATTTTTTGTGCCCCCCCCAAAGTTTTTCCTTTTCAGAAAAATACTGCTGCATGAGAAACAATTCCTTTATGAGATTAAGTAAGACTTTTTATGTGATGTGCTTGTTAAGATTTCTCATAACTAACTAGACTGTTTTTGGTCTTTCACCATCATTTCTCTGGGTGTGTTTTCCAGGGCATTATTCAGAAGATAGTGGACAGTCACAAAGTAAAGCACGTGGCCTGCTATGGATTTCGCCTTAGTCACCTGCGATCAGAGGAAGTTCACTGGCTGCATGTGGATATGGGAGTCTCCAGCGTGAGGGAGAAATACGAACTCGCCCACCCACCAGAGGAGTGGAAGTAAGATTCTAATGCACTGGAGTGCTATTGTGCCCAAATTCTGAACACCAAAATCACCAAGAGACCCACTCTGATGCAAAAGCAAAAAGAGTCTTTTATTGTTGTTTAACGACTCAGACCTCTCAATTATTCATCACAGCGGGTGGAATGAGAAGACCCCGAGAGTCGGGGAACTTACTGAGATATGCGAGGGGTGTGTCTAGGGGCACTATGGACGACCTGTCCTGTGCTGATTGGTCAACTGGTTGTTGTGGCCTATCGGCCCTCCCAGGGCGGTTGCTATGCTCTGCACATCACTGTTGTGCCACTTTTGCCCTAAGTCAAGCATGCCTAGAGCTGTAACGCACATCCAGAGGCCACCAGCTAACTTCTGATTGGTTCCTTGCCATGGGGGGGGGGTGTCTGACCTAGGGCAGCCCCTGCCAGGTCAGAAGGCAGGAAACTAAGCGCAGGCGCTGAGTCTGTTTGCTAAAGCAGGGAGCTGGTGAACGTCTGGTCCCTTCAATGCGACCATGCTGGATTACTTCATGTTAAAAATATGCACAAGAGGATGAATGTGTGTGTCCGCTTTTATGCTACTTGTTATCACTATTCCTGTATAGAGGAGATTGCCTAGTAATTACTAACCAGCGCTTTCTTTAGAACGTGTAGTTGGATGTGTCTCTTCCCATTCCTTGTCTTCTGTCACCATGGTCTTTGCTGATGATCACAGTTGTTCTACATTCCTGGCTTGCACCTCCGCTGTAAATGGCACTACTGCTTTATGATGCAGTGTTGACCTCTCGTATAGTGGGGTCTGACTTGTCCAGGAGGAGGTCACAGCTGTGGTCTCAGCAGTGGGCTGAGAGCATGCTCATGTCCAGTAATCTGTACTCATCCGAAAAGAATGGTGCACATTTATGCACATATAGGATGGCAGTGGGAGTGAGCTCAAACAGGAGTGAAACTGAAGTTATTTTAACATGATTAAAACAATTCCCAGTCATTTATCCTTTTCCTGTTTAACACCTATTTTTATGAATAAATGATTTTTCTTTTAGTTAAAAAATCTTAAATCTAAAATGGTTTCGAGAGAAGTATATCTTTAAAAAGTAGTCTTCTTTCATGTTGTACCCTCAGGCATGCCCTCAAGAGGGTCAGTAGCTTAAACAAGGGCCTGGATCAACAGGAAAGCCAGCTTATTTAGATAAAATACAAATTCATATAGTTCTTTGTCAGTTGTGTAGTATATCAGAGAATGCAACTGGAGTAAGCAAGCTATTGCTGAAGAGTATATTTAGGCTGGTTTATATCAACTGATAGGGAAGAAAGATTTGACTTCTAAAACTTAATCAGACAATTCAGTGTTTAAAAATTAAATATCTAGCTGGGTGGTGATGGGGCACGCCTTTATCCCACCACCCGGGAGGCAGAGACAGAGGCAGAGGCAGGCGGATCTCTGTGAGTTTGAGGCCAGCCTGGTCACACAGAGAAACCCTGTCTCGAAAAAACAAAAACAAAATAAAGATTAAATGTCAAATGAAAATAACTGCAGGTTTCCTTGTTCCAGTTATATGACGTTCTTCTTTTGTACAGACACTTTAGGGGAAACATCATTCTCTCACTTTATGCTTAGAGAATTTCAGTCTCTTGAGCACCAGCTTTTCTGTTGTTCTTCTAAGCCAATTTGTTTTACTTTCAATCAAGTAAGCAGAGCAGGGATTACTATTGCTGAAACAGGATTTGATGTTTGAACAATTACTAACCCATGAATGAAGAGTTGAATATTGCTGAAACCATTGCAGAGATGACCAGAGGAAGCAGGCTCATATGCATGAAGAAGTAAAGATGCTGCAACCCTCCTTGTCTCCCTCCTTTGTGATATGTATTCGTGATGTGCGTGTGTACACGCCATCCTTGTGCCTGTGCCCGCTATTAAATCCTCACATGTCCTTGAATGGAACACAGAAGTCATCTGTGTAAAAGCCTACAGGTGGGCAGAGAAGAGGAGGGATTGTTGGGTGAGGTCAAGAGTTTTCAAGGCAGTGCTTGGAAAGGTCCTGGAGTGTCCAGTTTCAATGTTTGAGTCTCATCTGCTTAGAAATGTCCTGTGTTGCTTCTCTACATGCAGGGCCAGCTCCAGGGTTTTGTCTGCTTTGTAGTTTGGCTCCTTTCAGATTTTGTCTTCTACTAAACTCTTGAGTATAGCTTGGAAGTGTTTTCATCAGCCTCTGTTGGGGTCTGAGTCTCTTCTTGTGTTGTCTTTGGTAGTTGTTGAGGAAGCTAGCCCTCTGTCTCTTTCCGACTTGCTTGGTTCTGCATCCTCCTCTGCTTTTACCCTTTAAACATTTTCACTTGCCCCATTTGAGCCTCCAGCTTTCTTAATGGCTTTCATAACACATCAAGAGTGTTGTCTAAGGGTGTGACTGGAATATACTCTTCTGCCCCGAACCAATGGGTGGATTGCTTTGATTTCTGAGTGCCTAGAGTCTGTGTTTGTTTACCTTTTTCCCTCAGGAACTGTCATATTCATCACTCTGCTTCTGGCTCTGTTTGTCTAGAGTAAAATATACTTTAATGAAAATGGAGTAAGGTAATATTGATAGTGTTGTACTAAAATAAGCAAGAGAGAAAATGATACGTATAATAGGATTCAAATAGCAACCAGTGTTTATTACAATAATAATAATAATAATAATAATAATAATAATAATAATAGAATGCATTGTTGCCAACTAAGTTTTGTTTGGCTCTGTTTGATAATTTTGATAATATTTGTGTTATCAGTAGGGTGATTTTCCTTGAATTTTTCCCTATCAACTAGACTATTATTTAAGTGTTTCTTCCATATTGGCTGTTGACTTGTTCTCGTGTATCAGGACAATCAGCTTAGTCATCCATCCATCCATCCATCCATCCATCCATCCATCCATCCATCCATCCACTCATTTATAGGCAGGTTCTCAGTGTGTAGCCCTGGCTATCCTGGATGGAACTCACTATGTTTACCAGACTAGCCTAGAATTTGCAGAGGTTCTCCCATTTATACTTCCCATGTGTTGGGAGTAAAGCCATGTAGCACCATACCCAATGAAGAGAGTAAACTTTTTTGTTTTTTGTTTTTGTTTTTCCAGACAGGGGTTCTCTGTGTAGCTTTGTAGACCAAGCAGGCCTCGAACTCACAGAGATCCATCTGTCTCTGTCTTCTGAGTGCTGGGAATAAAGGCATGTGCCACTGCTGCCACCACTGGTCGAGAAGAGTAAACATTTTTATGATGCTCTTTTACCCTTCCTTCCTTCCTTCCTTCCTTCCTTCCTTCCTTCCTTCCTTCCTTCCTTCCTTCCTTAATTCTGTCCAGATGAGTCTTTGTTCTTCAGAGATTAATTGGTTGGTGCTTTCATCCTTTTTGAAATGATTGTATGTAGTTGTGTGGCCAGACATGGAGATACACACCTTTAATCCCAGCTAAGGCAGCCTGGGCTACCTAGTGAGTTTCTGGGTAACCAGGATTTCATAGCAAGACCCTATATCTGAACAATCAGTCAAGAAAAAGCAATGGGAAGTGAATGTGTTGTGGGTTCCTACACAAGCTTCTTTTTATGCTGTTCCAACATTATATTGTTTATATTTGTCTGCTTGGAAATGACATGGGAATGTATTGGACTGGTTTTGTTTGTTTAAATCCTTCCTCTGTTTCTGTGTGTAAGACTGTAGTGCCTTCCTTCATTCACACTTCACATTGTGAAACATGCCTCATTTTTTCTCACATTCCTCTTGTCAATAACATGTCGTGATCCAGAGGATGTACCTTGGTGCCAGGTCAGTGCACTAAGTCTACCCATGCCCTGACTGACTTTGCCACTAGGTTTATACTGCTCTTGGTTTGGGTTTGTTTGCTGTTTTGTCACGATTATGTTAAGGTTCTTTGTTTTTTTTTTTTTTTTAAATTTACACAATCAGGTGTTCTTTTTGCTTAGTTTGTTTTGATTATTTTGAGACAGGGTCTTTCTGTGTAGCCCTGGCTGACACGGAGCTTGCTATGTCAAATAAGATGGCCTTGAACTCACAGAGACCCACCTGCCCCAGCCTCTTGAGTGTGGGGATTTAAGGTGCACTCTACTACTGCTGGCCCATCAAGATGTTTTTAGTGCATGATACCAGGAAGCCTGTCCTGGCAAAATAAATTTACCCAGAGCTCTGTCGGGGTCATTAGGCTGTGGTGGAGATATTTAGGTTTCTTCTGTAACTGTTTCCCCTTTATAATGAAACACTGAGACCATGCAGAAAATTTGCTTTTGCATCTGTGTTTAATGTAGCTGTACTTTTTGCTAATCTTAGTATCAGGTCTAACAGATCTTTCTTTCTCTGTTTTTTGTTTGTTTGTTTGGTTGGTTTTGTTTTTGTTTTTCGAGACAGGATTTCTCTGTGTAGCAGCTCTAGCTGTCCTGGAACTTGTTCTGTAGACCCGGCTGGCCTTATAGTCACTGAGATCCACCTGTCTCTGCCTCCCCAGTGCTGGGACTGACGGTGTGTGCAACCACTGCCCAGCCTAATAGATCTTTTGAGTCTACTTTAGCTTTTCTGAGATAGCCTTCTGTTCTCAGTAGTTGTTTAACTTGTAGACATCTTATGCTTACAGTTGGTGTGAGCTCAGGAAGCAAGATACCGTTGCCACTACTGAGAACAGATTGCTTTGGAGCATTAACAAATGATAACTTTATTTGGGGCATGATATATTTAACTGGTGTTTGGAAATCCGTGGAGAAGCAACATACTAGCTCTTAGCATGGTAACAGATGTGTAGAGTCAGCAGTTTTTGAATGGGGGCCTGTTTCCTTTACCGCGCAGCTCCCTTTGTCACTTCCTTTAGACCATGGTCATGAGCCGCTGCCTCAGAGTCTCTGAGTGCCCTCCATCACTTTCAGTGCTTGCGTCCTTTGCACATAGATGTCTGGTTTTCCAGCCCACACAAAGACATAGCTTTTTGAGAGCTAGCACCCTTCATTTAAGTGTTTGTTGAGTAGTGGCTAACATGACCTAACTTAAGGCCATTTATGGTGATGTGCAAATGGCTGTTTCACAGTTGTGTGTACATGATCATTTATTTCTCCAGCATCCTAGTGAATGAATTGAGTCTCATTGATGTGGTGGCTGACAGTGAGTTAGTGACATGGCTCCGTCTTCTTGATTAAGAGCCTCTGTTCTTATAAAAGACAGCACCTGTGTAAAATGCTGGAAAATTTCTAAGCTCCTAGTTGTTACCTGTAGCTGATACCCAGAGTTAGCAGTTTTTGAAGGGGGGCCTGTTTCCTTTACTGCGACAGCTGGCAGGGCACTCACAGTGAAGACTCTTGTGGCTTTGAAACATGCTGAGAAAGTCTTTTGTAGATGCAGAAAGCCAAGGACCGTACCTCTGTACTCGTTACTGCTGACGAGAAGCAGTGCATATAAGTAGGCAGTTCCCAGTAAGTCCTCCTGTCTGCAGTTACTGAATGCCGTCTTGGGCAGAAGTGAAGTAGAACCTGATTCGTTGCCAGTGTTCTGTTTTGAGAGGGTCTCAGTGTTAGTATTCAGGCACTCACTGTGAAGCCCAGCTTCCCTGCGATTGTCTCACAGCCCTCCTCCTTCTGTCTTCCATGTACCAGGATCGCAGGTTTACCCCCACCATACATGCCTGATGTTGTATAGTAAGAGAGGTCTGTTGTGTGGATAGTGAACGCCTTAAAAGATACTGTTAACCAGGCGGTGGTAGAACACACTTTTAATCCCAGCAATTCAGGAGCCAGAGGCAGGCTGATCTCTGTGAGTTCAAGACCAGCCTGGCTATAAAGTGAGTTCTAGAACACCCAAAGCTGTTACACAGAGAAACTGTGCCTCCAACAACAAGAAGAAGGTATCATCATGAAAATTTTAGAAATCAGTTGGATATGGTAGCACACACCTTTAATTCCTGCACTTCCCAGAGGGAAGTGTGGCTCTTTTATGAGTTTGAGGCCAACCTGGTCTATATAGTGAGCTCCAGTCTAGTCTCAAAACAAATAGAAAACAAAATAAAAATGAGTTTTCATAGTAGCATTGTTCCAGTCATCAAAAAGTTGAAACAGTTTCCATGGCCACAGTCAGTGTTAGGGATAAAAACTAACCTTTTGATGTAGTATCCTCCAAAGAGGCTGGAACTGCTGCTCTAGCTGCATATACTCTCATTTGCATGTTGCTGAATGAAACACCAGGCACTCCGCAGTGTAAATCTGCTGTGGTGGGGTTGCTTGAGGATGGGGCTAAGTGCAGGCCTTTGTTGTCCTCACGCTCTAAATTGTAGCACCTGCTGCATAGGCTCACAAGGTTTGTCCATTTAAACACTGATGTGGTCTTATCTCAAAACTGTACTTCAGAGTTAATTGGCAGTGAGTTACTCAAAATAACGATGGCAGTTGTGGAATATAAACTGAGAAAATGATTTATTTCTAATCATTGCATTTTGTGAATTGTCTTCCAGATATGAATTGAGAATTCGTTACTTGCCAAAAGGATTTCTAAACCAGTTTACTGAAGATAAGCCGACGTTGAATTTCTTCTATCAACAGGTATAAAAACACTTTCTTTCCTGCACTGCTTTGCTTCTTAGAGTCACCTTTATTTTGTGTTTTTGTTTTAGAGTAATATAAAACCTTATATTTGAGAAACTATAAATATAGAGAAGTCCTGGGTTAAGAGTGTTAGCTCATGAAAAGTGACTACGTTTTTACTCTTGAGTTTTGTTGTGCTTGGTCACATCGTGACAGGTGCTTGTTCTGTGGGTGGGCAGTAGGCCCGTGGTCACTGTTCAGGAACCATGCTTAAACATCAGTCAGTTTGTTGTGCAGAAATTGCTGTCAGTGAACTTTGATAATTTTTGATGCCAAGTTTCATAATAAAGCAAAGTGAGACTTCTTTTTTAAAAAGCCAAAGGTAATTACTTGTAGCATGTCTTCTTTTTGTTTGTTTGATTTTTTTTTTTTTTTACTTAAATTTGAAACAAGCTTGTTTTACATGTCAATCCCAGTTCCCACACCCTCCCATCCTCCCCTGTTCCCCCCACCAACCCCTATCTCATTCCCTTTCTGCTCCCCATGGCCATCATGGTGGGGAGCATGGCAGCACACAGGTATGCATGACCCTGGAGCAATAGCTGGAAGCTTATATTTTGATCCACAAGTGCAAGGCAGAGAGAGCTAAGTGGGAATAGTTTGGGCTTTGAAACCTCAGAGCCCACCTAAGTAACACACCTCATCCAACAAAGCCATATTTCCTAATCCTTCCCAAATAATTTTACAAGCTGGGGGCCAAGAATTCAAACATTCTCATTCATACAACTATATTCCACTCCCTGGCCCCCATAGGCTTATAGCCATATCATAATGCAAAATGCATTTAACCTGACTTCAGTGGTCTCCATAGTCTTTTAGTGTCAACACAGTTTAAAAGCTCAGAGTCTTCTGAGACTCAGGGCAATCTCTTAATTTTAACCCCCGTAAACTCATAAAGCAAATTACATATTTAAGCATAAAAATGACACAGAATATGCATTACAATTCCAAAAGGAAGGAAAGGGGACATAGTGGTGGAATACTTGCTTTGGCAAGATGGAAATTCTGCAGGGCAAACTCCAAAACCTGTAATGCTATGTGTGATGTCTGGAGGTTTAGATGGCTTTGCCGTGTGCCTTCTTCACTCTGAATACTGTGACTGGAGACAATGCCAGGTCACTGGAGACCAAGTATTCCCATTTGCTAATCAAGCTCTGTCTCTTTAAAATTTGTTTTTGAAACCCTTTATAAATTGTCTTGTGAGCTTTGTATATAAAGTAGGACTAATAAAACCAGCCCTGAATAATTACAAGGATCAGAAGTGATTTATATAAAAATACTATCCCCAGGGCCTTACTGCTCGTAGATGTTCCTTAAATAGTGAGTCTACAACTTTCAGGCTTTCTCCGAGGCAGTAAGATGGGATTGTGAGCATGCTGGTGTCCAGACTGAATGAGCATTGTCATAAATTATCTCAGTGTGAGGGGAATAGCTGTATGCATATGTACTGTTTGAAGTACGGTACCGTTTACATCATTTAACAGTGGGCGTACATTCTCGGAAATTCGTCTTTGGGCAGTTTTGTCACTGTGCAGACATCACAGAGTACTTGCACAAACTAATAAGGGTATATCACCATACAGGTCTTAAGGATCAAACCCTGTTTTTGTGGTCATTTTATTGACTGGAATGTCATTGTGTGATATATGACTATATTCATAGATGCTGAAGTGCTTGACCAGTCTGGTTTATTTCACAAATAAAAGCAGTGTATTCTGATAGGATTAGTAAAGTTGTAGTTAAAGTGATTCACTAGGGAAATGAGCAGTGAAGGTCAGGAGCCCTGAGTCTTACAGCACAGTCTTAGGATGGGACTGTGCTTTGGCTGCAGAGAACACTGGAGCAGAAATGGTTTCAGGCTGTGAATTAATTGCTCTGGATTTTGGAGTAAAACTCATATGTGAAGGCATGAGTGACTTAGGGCACTTGATTTGATTTTCCTACCTTTGAACAGTGTGTAGAAATTTCAGTAACTGATCCTCTGGACATTCGGTTAATGCTCTGTTTATCATCCTTACGGCACTGAAAGTCCGCAGCTGTACCTTTGAAACCTGCCCCAAGTGATTGAAAGCCACTGAATCATCTGTGGCTTTCCTCCCTCCACAAAAGTAGGAAGTCTCTATGGGAATTGTGAGTTTAAGTGACACTCATACTACATTATTCCAACTGCTCAACAGTAAGCTGAGAGACAGGCGTTTGGGCTCTGTACAGGTTGGTTTGTTTCTCCAAGCAGTTTCAGTAGATAAGCAGTGACAGACACGGGACCTGGAGGTTTTGCAAGCAAAGATAGCGCAGTGGTGGCTGTGTGCTGAATGGGATCAAAATCCTTAAGATAGAAGCTGGTAGACTAGGAGATAATAGTTGAAAGTGTTTGGAAGTAGTCAATGTACTTTTCCTACAAAGAGCCAGAGAGTGAGTATTTTAGGCCATGAGGACCAAGAAACCAATAGGAAACCAATAAGAAAGTGGTGTATAGCAAGGTGAAGCCAGTTTTGGTAAACATTTGTGTTGGTGTTGCTCATAATGTAATTAATTATAGATTTTGATAATACAGATGTGTTATGAGGGAAGGCAGACAATGTTCCACTCTAGGTTAGGAGTACATGAACCCTGTCTTCAAAATCAAGTACAGATTTTTGTCTCTTAATGCAAAATTGTGAGGTGATTTTGTGCATTTCAGCTTTGCAAATGTCTTCATGCTGACAGGTATTCAGACACACTGGTGTCAGTCATGCGTACTTTGTGTGTGTTTCACTTTAAATTTATTGTTATTTGCATATGTGTGGTTTATATATATATGATTGTGGACATCACATACCATAATGTGTGTGTGGAGGTCAGAGGACAAGTTTCACAAGTCCCTTTTCTCTCTCTACCGAGGGTTCCTGGGATCAAAATCAGGTCATCAGACCTGTGTAGCAGTTCTTTTATTGGCTCAGCCATCTTGCTGGTCTGCGTTTTAGTGTTTTGAGACAAAGACTCACTGTGGGATGACAACATCTGGTTCGATCTGTGTTTAATTGAGGTTTCTCTAGGTTAGACTTAGGTGTGTTACTTTACAAATTAGTAACGTAGAGTGGACAGTTTGGTGGGGACTTTGAGGTTGCACATTGGATTTTGAAGTACGTGGATTTTTGTGGCCCTTGCTCTGAGAGCCCCGCATGCTTTCAGAGTATGGGTTATTGCTCAGAGAAGAGTTGTGCAGCTGTTTAGTCGGAATGCAGGAAGACTGTGGAGCAGCAGAGTGTTGTTGTGGTGCGGTGTGTCAGTTGTTCAAAGCCACACACAGACACAGTCTTAACCTGCACGAGCCGGCCTTGGTAAAAGGCTCAGTGGGCTGGCAGCCTAGTTCAGTCCCTGGAACCCATGTAAAGGCAGTAGGAGACAACCAGCTCCATTGAGCTCTCCTCTGACCTGCATACTGGTACCACAGATCATGCGTGTGCATACACATGGAAGACTTAGGTCTTTAGTTATTTTGGGTATTACTTATTTTGTATCCAGATTCAGCATAATTTTTGACAGAGTGTGAATATGTAAAAAGCATTCAGCAAATATTTAGTAATTGATCATATTGCAAACATTCCTGTTTCCCATTCCTTTATTTCAGGTGAAGAGTGACTACATGCTAGAGATAGCTGATCAAGTAGACCAGGAAATAGCTTTGAAGTTGGGTTGTCTGGAAATTAGGTAGGTGGTAACGCTACATTGATTCCATGTACTGTTTTATTTTCTAGGTGCTTTCCTCTTTATAAAATTACCAGTAAAATCTTGATTAAATTGAGAGAGAGTTCCACATTACTTAACTATTATTTGGATCTGTCTTTTGTAGTTATGATTTAACAGCCTAAACATTTCTTATATATACATGTCAGTTTTTGTGTTCCCTCATTTCAGGCGATCCTACTGGGAGATGAGGGGCAACGCCCTAGAGAAGAAGTCCAACTACGAAGTGTTAGAGTAAGTACCGCACTCTTGAGAACATTCAGACTCTGAACACACCCCTCCTAGTTCATCTCTATTTAGAAGTTGCCTGAAATGATGGCTTCACAGTCTTTATTTGGAGGAGAAAAGGCTTTTAAGAAAAAAAAATCCTGATGGCCTTAATTTTATTCACAAACATTTAAATATATTGACAAATATCGTATGGCTGATAATGTGTAGGTCCTAGCAATGTACATATATGTATGCATACACAAATGTATTTTTCTTTTTAAAGGTATACAATAATTTCACTGAGGTGATACTTTGCTTCTGTTTTACATTGAAATTATGAATTGCCCATAAAGCCTGGCATTGGTGGTAAATGCTTTTAGTCCTTGGGAGGCAGAGTCAGGTGGATCTTGGTGAGTTCAAGGCCTGCCTGGTCTGTACAGTGTGTTCCAGGACAACCAGGACCATCCCACAAAAAAAACTTGTCTCAAACCCCCCACCCAAAAGATGAATTGCCTATAAATTGGGTATTAATCATTCACTTCCTCTGTGGATCAATTAAGGAAATTTTAACAAATGGAGAAATGAGAATTATTTGCTACTCATGCATCAAAAAGTGTAAAATATAAAAAAAATTTCTGGTGATATTAATTTTTATATTAGTCTATTGTATTTGGTTGTTTTAAATATGTGTAAGGGAAACTGGACCTTGTGTCTTGATAGAAATTTTACATTTAACCTTGTTGAAATTTATTCAACAAGACAGTTGATATTTATTGTAGCTGAGTGAAGCGATGTTTTACTGTCATATACCACTATTGTTTCCATCTGTATTTGACTGATGTTTTCGTGGTATTTAGAATGATGTACTAAAATAACATCAAAGGTCATCTACAACTCCTCTGTTGTAATGAAAATGGTTTTGGGTTTTATTTAGATTTTCTAGGTCAGAATAGTACTTTTATAGTGTAAGAGTTTTACATTCCCCCATCTTGAAAGTAGGAGCTTGCAAGACAGATATGGCCATAGAAAAAGAAAAGTAGAAGCGTTTTGCAAAACAGTTAGTGTTAGTAGTAGATAGAACAGGGCGATTTTGGCTATTGGTAAGTGTCCTCGGTTCCAAGCTGTTCATTGTGTTTCAAGTGCCTAAAGCTCATGCATCTGCTATTTTCTGAGCTTATGACGTCTTCCATTAGGTTCATGGCAGTGTGTGCATAGCAGACAATAAGTATGTTTATGAAGGCATGTCACATGCGTTGTATACACTACTGATAAGTTAATTACAAAAGAAGTCATTTTCAGTAGAATTTTTACTGTCCTTCATTGGATAGTTTAGGTCTAACATTCACTGTATTTTATGTTTTTTGTTTAAAGTAGCTACATTTTTTAGCCTTAAAAGTCTCCATAGTGCTTGAAATGCATATTGCTGGGATTAAGAGAAACCATTAAAGGTTTTTGTGTTGTCTTTTGTCATCATGGTCATATGAGATACGGTATCATTTTTCCTGCTGGCCTTGAACTTCTGATCTTCCTACCTTCACTCCCAAGTACTGGGATTATAGGTGTCCATCTGGGTGAAGTGTTTGGAGAAAGTTTTATATTCAAGTTCCTCAGTTAGGAATGAATTAAGGTTTGTACTACAGTTGATGAAAATTGGCTTCTAGAAATACAGAAAGGTAACAGGAGAATAAAGCAGCAAAAGCTGGCACTTTCAAATGTGGTGTGGTATTTTGTGAGAAAGCAGAAAAATGGACTGTGGGGGGTTACAAAGGACTGTGGTCATTACTACTTGAACACAGCAGGAAGAGGCAGAGCAGTGTGAATCAGATCCTGCGTAGAGGACGTGGCTGCATGACATGGTTTGAAGTGGTCAGTTTGTGTATATATGTGGTGGTCAAACAAGTAAATGTGGGTACTGCAGGAAAGGATCTCACATCCTGTGACTGTTTGCTCTGATGGTTGAATGTGCTTCAACTTGTAAACACCTGAGCTTTTGCAGTCCCACCACGGTGACTCTCCAGTTACATCGTTTGTATGGTGTCACTTCCCACCTCGAAGCATTGGTGATGGCTGAGTGGTGGTTGCATGTGCAGAGTGCGTGGCGTCAGGCCGAGCTCTCCTCTGCTGCTTGACCACAAGGCCTCTGTGGTGCTTGCCTGTTGGTGTCAGGAGAGAAGTGGATGTTGTGATCCCAGCACTGAGCCTGAGTTGACTGTAATCACGTCTGCGCAGAGCACAGATGATTAGCCAGCATAAAACCAAATCGTGTAGAACTCTTCCAAAGAACATTGGCAAAAACGAGTAACAGTATAGGGCTCATCAGTTGGGTTAATTTGGAGCACATTTGAAAAGATTTTAGTTTGTTTTCAAAGGTAATGAAATGTTCTCTAATTAGAGAAAGTTAAAGTTACATTGTCAACTGGTGGGGACTTACCATAACATCTTCTCAGTCTTAATAAAGAACTTTAGGGTTTTTCATGCCTTGTTTCTAATGTAAACCAGATGAGGTTAGACGTGGATCCTGCCAGTTCATCCAGCCTTCGGTTGGCTGAAGGTGTCTTCTCTCTGAAGAAGCCCGTGCTTGAGTGTGTACACTTGTCCTTTTCTTAAGCTTATCTTATTCCTCTTCCTTGTTTTGCCCTTTCCCCTCCCCTTCCCTTCCTTCATGACCAATGCCTTAACTAACCTGTACTAATCTGTTTAAAAATTAAGACCTTAATAAACTCCAGCTTTGCTTAAAAAATTAGACCAGTTTTTCCATGTTGCCAAAGTGGAAATGTGTTAATGCAGGACTCATCAGGCTAGTATGTTGTTTTCCATCTGATCAGTAACCTGTAATGCCTGTTGAGGTATTTGGCTATTTATTATCTTCTGTGGAATAGCAACCGTCTACAGGATCAGCCTGTTTCATGTACTTTTTTTTTTTATTACAGATGAAATGAAATACCTCTCACTTGTATCAATTTTGTATTCCTCTTGCCTTTTGCTTTCTTTTTGGGTGGGCTGGGTCTTGCTTGTAGCCTAGGGTGCCTTCAGCACTCTGTCCTTTGCCTAGCCTCTCAAGCTCTGGGAGTACAGGTGTGTGCTCCCATGTTTTGCTGGCATTTCTAACACATCTGTATTTTTCTTTATTAATCCTGAAGTCTTTGCCAATTTAGCCCCATGTCTGTGGTGACAGTTACGTATGTTCCTGTCCCCCTTGTGTGTGTGGCACTCACAGATGCACATTTCTCCTTTCTTTCTTTTTTTTTTTTTAAATAGTTTTTTGACACAGGGTTTCATTGTATCCCTGGCTTTCCTGAATCTTACTATACCAGGCTGATCTTGCCTGCCCGTGCATCAATTGCTATGCTTTTGTTTCTTAATCTAGTAGTCTCCTGTTGTGCTCTTGTGGCAAGGGATGGAAATGAGGTGAGCGTGCTTGCTTGCTTGTTTTTTAAGATGTTCAGTGTGCAGGCTGGAAAGACAGCTCAGCTGTTAAGGGTGCTTCTTGCTCCTCCAGAGGTGGAGGGCCTCACACCACTTACACTCTAACTCTGATGCATCTGACACCGTCTTCTGGCTTTCAGGAGCACAAACATGCATGTGGCATATACTCGGACAGATACCCGCATAGATATATGCATCAATACAAAATACATCTTTAAAGGAATGATGGTTAAATGTCTATTTTAAACCGTTGTAAATTGGAACTGAAGAGATGAGTTGGTGTCTCAGAGCACTGACTGCTCTTCAGAGGCCCTGGTCTGATTCCTAGCCTCCACAGTAGTTCACAATCATCTGTGACTCCAGAACCAAGGGATCTGACACTTTCGTATGGACTCCAAAGGTAACAGACACACACTCGATGCACAGAAATACATGTGTGCAAAACAGGTAAAACTTTTTTTTTAATTTCTTGAGAAATTAAATCAGCAAATTTATTTCTGTTCTTACCTTTCCAATGTGTGTGTTTACTTACTTTGTATTTATGTTTATATTTTGAAGAAAGTTGTTACAGTATAGCCCAAACTGACTCATGATCCCCTTGCCCCTTTCTCCCCTGAGTTCTGGTTATGGGTATGTATGTATGTATGTATGTATGTATGTATGTATGTATGTATGTATGTACCAAGTCTGGCTGTTTTTATATTATATTTTAGGTTTCCTGTTATCCCAGTTGTATTTGGTCAGAGCATGGTTTATAAGTGCCCTTATGTGGTGAGTGTGCCTTAATGGATGAGTTAAGACCACTGCCACCACCACATTGTGTTACCTAAATGCATGAAACACATGACAGAGTGGAGAGGCATGATTGCTCATATGTCTCCACACAATCTTCAAGGCCTGGGTTCAATACATAGTACTTCCTGTGCAATTACTATGTGTATGTTTATTTCCTACTTCAGCCTTCTCTTTTAAAGATTTGTTTATTATATGTACAATGCTCTGTCTGTATGTATACCTACAGGCCAGAAGAGGGTACCAGATCTCATTACAGATTGTTGTAAACCACCATTTGATTGCTGGGAATATAAACTCAGGGTCTCTGGAAGAATAGCCAGTGCTTTTAACCTCTGAACCTTCTCTCCACCCGTAATGTTCAGCCTTCTTTCTTACCTGCATGTTGTGTCTTTAGGCGTGGTAAAATACAGTAGTCATAATAGCCTTGTCATAATGGTTTATTCTCATGGGCCTCAATGTTTGGAGGCTCCATGTTCAGTCATACAAACATAATGTGTAAATCTTTTTGTGAAATTCTATATAGTGATTTCTTTATTGTTTTGATTTTGTCTTGTCTTTTTTAGATTTTTTTTAAAGAAATTTGTGTGTATGAATGCCTTCCCTGGATATACACACATATGAGTGTGTCTACCATATGCATGCTTGGTACCCGAGTAAGTCAAAAGAGGGTATCAGATCCTCCAAAGTGGCAGTTACAGATGCTTGTGAGCCTTCCCACTGCTAGTCCAGGCTCTGTGGTGCTAGCTTCTTCTTCCTTCTCAGTACCCTCTTTGTCCATGTGTGGGTGTCCATAGCTGTCTTAG